TGCAATCTATATTGCAATGATTGAATTTTTTTGTGAGGCAAGTCTATCAAACGTCATTGGTTCTATTATTAGTGACAATAAATTTCGAGCACAACTTATTCCAACATAAGTAATTCCTAGAGTGGTTTTTTTCCTACATCAACCCATGCTTTGTCCAAAGTCATACCCTGACTTTTGTGAATTGTCAATGACCAGGCAAGGTAATTGCTGTCTTTCAAGTATGCTATTTTCAACTCTTACAGTGGCAGTCACTGGTGGAATAAGAACACAAGGCATATTTGCAAATGAAAATAGCAAATTTTACGATAGCAACAATAGGTAAGTCAGGTGGTGCATGGTTCCCTGCATAAATAATATAAACAATGGTTCCATTGAGCCATTACATAGACCCACAGATGTCAATAAATTTATTGTTAACATTACTCTTGCTCCTTTGGAAATCAAATAAATGGGTGCAAACCAAGCATATCTTGAAAACTAACATGTTTAGCATCATTACTGGATGTCGAGCATGGATTTCGGCAATTGGTGTTCTTAACTTAACCAAGTGATCATAATTGCACTTGGCTACTTCTTCATTGCTAAAATACAACCTTGTTGCACTTGAAAAATCATCAGTGTTAGACACGACACTTGGTTGGTGTAGTGAAAAGTAATTTCCAGTCATTTAAACTTATATCTCTTGTCCGAAGTCTTAATAAAATGCCTTTAAATCTACTTTGTTAACTTTCATCACCACTTACTCTCTCATTAACATCAAGTACCACAATGTTATCAAACATTCTATATGCTAGATAGCCTTGTTCACCTATCGACTTGCCACCAAATAAGCTATCTTTCAAACCACTTGCTGGTCTACAAAGTCTGTCAATCCACCCTATGGTTGTTTGACAGAGCATAGAGTTTTCATGGATTATAATGTACTCAACAACCTCTTTAACATATAAGCCGGGGGGGGGGGGGCATTTGCCCTCCCAGTCCCTCTAAATGCCCCCCCCACAAATTTTATTTTGCCCACCCACCAGAAGTTCTTTTCTCCATTCTAATACAAACTAATATGGGAAGTAAGCAAGGATTGAAGTAAATTAAAAATTCCAGTAAATCAAATCACACAAAAGAAGACCAGAGAATGAAAGAAAACTGCAATCTTTGGCGAAGAAGTGTCAAAACATAAATTCTTATTTTGTTACCACTTCAAATTTTGAGGACAAAGAAAATAAGGACGACATGAATAATGATCTTGAAAACAAACCTGAAAAAGATAATGCTGATGATGGTGGTGAATCACCAACTTACCACGTTCAAATGAAGATGACATGGTAAATGAGAATGATATAGAATCTGTTAGTGTTGACAAAGAAACTCAATCCATTAGTGAACTGCACGTTGAAAATAATTTGAAGTTAGACTCAGATCAGGCAGTCCAGTCTGATGCAGACGATTTCTCAGCGAGTTTTTATGGAGGATGTAATTGATCATCTTCATGGGACTCTTATGCAACAGCAATGGAAATAGCAAAATTAATTGAGCAATGGAATAATAATTACTGAAATCATCCCGGGTTAAGGACTTCGAAATCAACTGATTCTGCTGTTATAAATACTTTGTTGCATATGGCTGTAGATGTATACAACGATAGTAAATTGCTAATGCCTTCTGCTTGGTCTTGGCCCTCTAGGAGCCTCGCCAGCATACATGCTGAACAAAAAGCAAATAAGTATGCCAGTGCTGAAAGCAATTGGAGAGTTTTCACAGTTCAAACAGAGTGCTGTGGATCTGCACTGTTGAGATCCAACTCACTATGCAGAATTATTAGCAATTCAAGGCAGTTTTGAAAGAGAGAAGTTAAAAGATGAGCTGAAAAGCTGTCTGCATTTTTCAATGCAGATTGATAGCTCCATGGACTCTAAACAGAAAGACAAAAAGCATGTTTTTGTCTGTTTTAACAAGCCCGAATCTCCACTGGAAATTGAAAATCAATTTGTTAATGCCCGAGAAAGTGAAAAACATGGAGAAGCAGGATTATTTGGGCTGCACAGTCTTCACTGAAAGAAGTTGGTCTTACAAAAAATGAAGTGGGAGCTAAATTTGTTGGTGGGAGTTCTGATAGAGAGTCAACAAACACTGGCTGTAAATCTGGTCTGTGGGCTAGAATGGAAGAGTATGTTGGGCACCACACATTAAATATCTGGTGTGCTTGTCATAGCTCTGGTTTGGCAATATTATCGAACATCTATTATCGAACATCTGCCTTATATCATATTATCGAACATCTGCCTTACAAACGAAAGAATGAAGGATTATCGATCCCAGTGCCAAGTCTTTTCCTGCCCACCATGAAGTCAGGTTTGCTCAGCATCTTGTCCAGTTATGTGAAGCAGTTCTTAGTAATCTGAAGGCCTGTAGGATACACTGGACAAAAATAGTTGATGCACCAAGAGATAAATATGAAAAAAATTAGAAATCAAAAGCTCAAGGCTACCTGAACGTTTGGGAGCCATTAAGTGTACAAGTGTGGTTGACAGCTTTCATGGTAAATGTTTGCTCAATATTTCATTATGTTGAGAAGGCATTCTCAACATACTCGAATAATGCCTTAGACAGTGTAGTGAACTGAAGTGCTTAAACGTCTGGTTTCTTTTTCTAGTTTCTACATTATTTTAAACTATTTTGGGTGGAAAGAGGGTAATTTTGAATGAAAAGTTTGTGAAATTCAAACAAGTAACAAAGTTCAAGGATTTGTATAATTTACTCAAGTTGGAAATTTTGAATATTGGATCATTAAAATTGAAAGTTATGAAGAGTTTCTGTTTTTGTGTGTTCTGTTTTTTCCCTTTCATATTTTTTGAAACAAACATATTGAAAAAGTTATATCGATTAAACCTATTTCAAAGTATATATTTTTTGAAAATTTGGATTCATATTCTTTTCTTTTAGATGGAACATTTAAAATTTTTCAAGTTGTCCAAAGGAAACCCGCCATCAAATTCCAGGGTTAATTTGCCTAACACATTTGTTAGTAAAGTCCAAATTCTATACGTCATCAGTCCACGTCACTACGGAGTACCATGAGAAGCACGCGCGCTTGCTTTCCTAGCCATTGTACGCATAGTTTTCTTAGCCGCAACATTAAGTCCACATTGGAAGAAACTTGGTTTCACAAAACATACCGTTCTATCAGTCGCTGTTTGTTCACACATTGTTAAAGATATTTACAAGGTCTTCACAGTCTACTACTATTGAATATATCGTTTGGTTACATGAGTACCGTAGTTTTACTATAGGATTGTTCTTATAGCATTTGGTTGTTCCTTTATATTCAGATATTTAGTATTCATTCGTTTGTAATGGCTTCAAGCAGTAAACAATTAATATCTGGTAGCCCACGTCAACCTGACGTTTCTAACGCGAGCCAAACTGGCAAGGAAGACAGTCAACCTGACCAGTCCGCAATGGATAGTCTTCGAAACGAGTCCGACCAACCTGGCCACCATGATGGTCGACCCGACCACCTTTCTCAACCTGAGTTAGACTTGGGCCAAAAACCCACTGCAATAAATAGCAGCATTAGCACAATGGCTACGGTTTTACAAAACCTAGTCGATTCTGGAATCCCTAAACAAGGAAAAAGGGGTAAGAAACGCAGTAAGCGCACCGTGTCATCAGACTCTGAGAGCGAAGATTCTGACTATTCAGCCAAACGTACACGGGATGACGACGACGCAATCAGTATAAGTGCGTCGGATAACAACATCCAAGCCCTTCTGGATGGGTCACTCGCCACCGGCGATAACATGGCCAATGTTCCCAATACCTCAGGCAATACTGCGCCAGGAAACCAACCGATTTTGGATCAGTCTGAAATAGAACTACTATAGTCTCTTAATAGTGCCCTCAACGAGGAAGAACAGACAGGACCTAAGATTGTCCAAAATCTGGCTGACATAGCCATTACACGATGGGGTAAAACAATTACCACCGAAAAATTTAAAATTCTGTTGTCAAAACATGACAAACCAGAAAATTGCGCAGAGTTAACCGTACCCAAAGTTAACCCAGAAATTTGGACCGCTCTAAATAATTCTAAGAAGAGCGCAGATTTGCGTTTGGGAAACATACAGCAAACTATTCAAAAAGCCACTTTTGGCATGCTTAAGAATTGTGACACACTGCTATCAACGCCCACTGATACAAAAACTGCGCTCTCGCATGCTATCGATGCTGTAGCCCTTATGGGTCACTCGGTAGGTGTACTGTCTTGAATTCGAAGGGACCAAATTAGACCGGCTCTAAAGCCAGAATTTTACAGCCTTTGTAATAAGGCAAACGAACCAGAAAGTTCATCTAGTGCCATGCTTTTTGGCGACGATTTAGCAAAACAAGTGTGTGACGCTAAAGAAACCAATACAATTAGTCAGTCAATTGGGGCTAACCGCAATCGCACATTTCGAAACTACCGTCCAACAAATCGCCCAGATAAGCGGTTTTCAAATTCCCGCTCCCAGAGGGGCGGTCACTCTGACTATCGCACTGAAAACAACAAACCTTATTTTTTGGGAAAGGGCCAGAAAAACCAACGTTCCGAGCCAAAATTGGCAGGAAATCCTAAATACTCTCGAAAAGATTAAATCACACTGAAAAACTACCTCCAATGTCGATGTAATACCTTTAAAGCTGGCAATACTAGAAACTCTATTACTGCCTGGCAAAACATTACTTCTGACACAGAAATCCTGAGAACGGTGGCAGGGGGCACAATTGAATTTGATAATTCGCCCACTAACATTTCGAACCCAAAAATTCCGTTCTCGCCAGAAGAATCTGACATAATTGATCAGGAAATTGCAAAATTGCTAGCCAAAGGTATTATCGAAGTAACTAATCATAGTTTAGGGGAGGTAGTGTCAAATATTTTCATCCGCCCGAAAAAGGACGGTAGCCACAGGTTGATCTTAAACTTAAAAGGTCTTAATCAGTTTGTTACTTATCATCATTTTAAAATGGATACTTTGAACTCGATACTAAAATTAATAGAGCGAAATTGTTTTATGGCCTCTCTTGACATTAAAGATGCATACTATTCAGTAGCTGTCAATCAATCTGATCGCAAATATCTGCGGTTTTACTGGCAGGGAGTTTTATATCAATATACATGCTTGCCAAATGGCCTTTCTAGTTGCCCTAGGACGTTCACCAAGGTGCTTAAACCCCCATTAACAGTGCTCCACAAACTTGGTCACATTATTGCCAGTTACATTGACGATCTTTTCCTACAGGGAAAAACGTATGAACAATGCGTGTCTAATGTTATTGATACACTATTGCAATTTGACGCTCTGGGATTTATAATTCACCCAGATAAATCAGCTTTCATACCTTCACAAGAACTGCTTTTATTAGGTTTTATAATTAACTCTGTTGAAATGACCATTACCCTCACACCTGAGAAAAAGGTCGCACTAAAGCAGCTTTGTCTCGCTTTGATATCTAAACATATGCCCACAATTAGAGAGGTTGCTCAAGTTATTGGTAAGATAATCTCGTCATTTCCGGGCGTGGCACACGGCCCATTATATTACAGAGCATTAGATCGTAATAAAACTGAAGCTCTTCAATTGTGTAAAGGTAATTTTGATAAACGCATGACATTATCAAAAGAGTCAAAGCTTGAGCTTCGGTGGTGGGCACAGAATATTCTTGAGTCACAAAATGTAATTTCCCGGGGCCAACCGTCCCATATTCTTACAACAGATGCCTCCCTCACTGGGTGGGGGGCGGTTTACGAAGGCAGCAGTACTGGTGGTTTTTGGGCTGATGAAGAAAAAATACATCACATTAACTACCTCGAGCTACTAGCGCTGTTTTTAGGGTTACAGACGTATTGTAAAACTTTACAAGGCACACATATTCGGGTGTATCTTGATAACACAACAGCTATAGCTGTAATAAACCACATGGGCACAAGCCATTCGCCACAAAGTAACACACTAGGTAAAACTATCTGGGAATGGTGTATCTTCAGAAATATCTGGCTTAGTGCTGCCCATATTCCAGGGGTTGACAATACTATAGCTGATTCAGAATCACGCAGCACTGATTCGCATACCGAATGGATGCTTGACAGCTCAACTCTTAAGAGTGTATTGCCTCAATTTACCTTCAACCCCAATATCGATATTTTCGCAACGCGACTCAATGCACAGTTTCCAACTTATGTGTCTTACCGACCTGACCCAGGTGCATTCGCTATAGATGCTTTCTCATTAAACTTGTCTCATTTGCAGTTTTATGCTTTCCCTCCCTTTAGTGTAATCGCAACATTGTTGCAAAAAATTCAGGAGGAAAAAGCGACAGGGATAGTAGTTTTACCGGACTGGCCAACACAATCTTGGTACGCCAAGGCAATGCAAATGTGCCGTCAACCCCCGGTACGTCTAGCTCCGGGGAAACAGCTGTTACAATTGCCAGGTCAACCGCAGGAAATTCATCCACTGCACAAAACTCTGGCTCTTCTAGTTTGTCACTTATCCGGCAACAACTAACAGAGCAAGGCTTATCAGCTGAAACGGTAAATATAATAATGGCGACATGGCGACAGACAACCGGAAAACAATATCAGTGCTACCTTTTAAAATGGATAAGTTTTTGCCAAGAAAATCGAATTAATATTGAACAGGCTGATATTAATGATGGTCTAAAATTCCTCACATTTTTATACAATCAAGGCGTAGGTTACAGTGCTATTAACACAGCTCGGTCAGCACTATCTGCAGTAATCACGTTGGGTAGTCATCGAACCTTTGGTGAACACCCTTTAGTTACTCGGTTTCTCAAAGGCGTTTTTGAACTTAAACCATCCTTACCTAGATATTCTGTAGTATGGGACGTGGGCGTAGTTCTTAAATTTCTGCAGTCAATGCCCTCTCTGGAGAATATGACTTTAGCAATGCTAATGAAAAAGTTAACCACGTTATTAGCACTTCTAACTGCCCAGCGATGCCAAACATTAAAGAGCCTAGACCTAGACTTCATGCAAGAAGCCGACAATCAGTTTGTGTTTACAATAATGGAAAAACTTAAAACAACCCGAGCAGGGAAACACATTCCACCAATCAAAATATTGAGTTACCCACACGATATTCGTCTGTGTCCTGTAGCACATTTAAAATGTTACATCACGAAAACAAAAACATTACGACGTCATTCAACACTTTTATTAAGTTACGTCAAGCCACATAAACCGGTGACCAATTCCACTATCGGTAGATGGGTCAAAGGCATTCTTCAAGAATCGGGCATCGACAAAATGTTTTCAGCACACAGTAGTCGAACAGCATCATCGTCATACGGAATTTTGTTGGGCCTGCCATTGAAAGATGTTCTGAAAGCTGGCGGATGGTCAAATGCAGAAACATTTGCCAAACATTATAATAAACCTATCGAATCTAATTTTGGGAACAGTATACTTAACCATTTTATTAATACAGACACCGATGATTGATGCAATTATATAAATAAGGAACTGTTATGTGTTACATAAAGCGTATAGCTTTACATCATATTTTCAACTTAATATATTTTCTTATAATATACCCCAGATGCTGTCTGATGATTCTGACCAAACTGGGTCTTACACCTACTTCGGCAACTTACTATCACTCACAGCTTTAAAGTCTCATGGTACTCCGTAGTGACGTGGACTGATGACGTATAGAATTCGAAAATTAAACGAGACTTACCTGTAAGTTGAAGTTTGATTTGAATTCTATTACGTCATCAGTCCGGAACGAAGGAGTAACATGCCCTCCCGTGGAGATTTATCCCTCCCTATACTCCTTCGTTCCTATGTGAGTGTCAGTAAGTTTAGGACTTTAAAATATGGCTAGGAAAGCAAGCGCACGTGCTTCTCATGTTACTCCTTCGTTCCGGACTGATGACGTAATAGAATTCAAATCAAACTTCAACTTACAGGTAAGTCTCGTTTAATTTTCGAATTAAAAGATAAATATGTTTTCGACACGCGATATTTAACATCTGTTTTAAAGTATGAACAGCAAAAGGATTATGGAAAATTTTTGTTTGAAATTTATCTTTGCTTTTTATCATATTATGAAAATAGAGGTATGTATTTATATGATCATTCGTTTAATAACATGAACATGGGGAGCATAGAGTTGAAAAAATATCACTGACCTGAGAAAGTGATTACGGTCATTCTTATTTCTTTGCATAAAGAGAATTGGTGCAAATTCTACGAGGACTATTTTCAAGCAATCAGTTGTGATCAACAATTTGAAAATTGTTGAAAATTGTTGGCAAAGTCATTGCCATTGTGGTTGGAAAGACGGGTATTTGAATTGCTTATCTTTGTCATCTACAAAATCATTTTCATGATTCCATCACTTTGTCAATTAGCAAGTCAGGTCCTCCGGTGTCACAGGAAATTTGGCCCCCCCCCGAAAATTTGGCCCCCCTGGGCCAAATTTCCTAGGAAATATGGCCCCCCCGGGCCAAATATCCTAGGGAATTTGCCCCCCCCTTCGGAAATTTGGCCCCCCTCTAAGAAACTTAGTTTACCTTACCATTTTAGAGCTAGAGAACCGTTAAGTGTATAAAAGTTTTAAGTGTATAAAAGTCTATCTAGCCGTGGTTTGAGTTACAACTTACAAACAGCACTGACGGATTTTATATAGTGCATGTTACCTGTTTTTGTGTTTGCCGATTGTTTTTAAACGTTTTTATGCAAATTTGTATTAATTACTCCCTAAATGTTAGCCGCATGCACATTAACACTTTCACCAACGCATGTTGTCATCGCTTGCTAAAGTGTGGTTGTTATTCTGACGAATTTCATATTAGGTTCAGAAACTTGTTGAATATTGAGTCAAAAGTTCTCGATTTCAAAACTATATATATTTTATATATATATGGGGAGTATAAAGTATGTTATCGAGGGGGACCAAATTTCCGAACTGTGCAATATGTGATTTGCCCTCCCCAGAAATTCTTAATTTGGCGACCTTATAAATCATAGGCTTAGCGGTTATACATACATAGGAAAGGTTGTTTTAGGAAATTACCACTTATTTATTTATTTTTCGATTAAAGCCCCTAGTAATGTTATGATAATCCTAGAAGTTAGCCACGTGCACATTTAAAACAACATTCGTCTTAGCTCTTCGCTGAGATGAAAAGCTTTTGAAATAAATAAAGCAAACTATAAGTATAATACAAACAAACATTTACGATCTTGTTTTTAGAAGAAGCTTCGCGATTCTCGAACTCAGGGGAATAAAGTATATGTTTTCGAGGGGGCCAAATTTCCGGCTGGTTGGAAAGACGAGTATTTGAATTGCTTATCTTTGTCATCTACAAAATCATTTTCATGATTCCATCACTTTGTCAATTAGCAAGTCAGGTCCTCCGGAGAAACAAGGTAAAACAATTTAATTTAAAATACTTAGTTTTACAATCTGCAATACAAAATATTACTAAGAAATTTAATTTAGACCAACTGAGATGAACCACAATAAATGTTTTTAGAAATGGGTTGTGGATTAGAGAAGTGGTTTATGAATATATTTTTTCCCTCCTCCTTTCTGCGTGATAAATGGTGATTCTATTGTAGCATTTTTTGTTTTCTTTAATATTGCGAAGTACATATTAAACCTTTTTCCCAGCTTTTTTCTTAAGTGATTTGTGAATTTTCAGTTTGCTAAGATAATATTGCGTATTTTTTTCTTCTTTTTGATTTATATTTCATTGTAAATTATTCCAGGCCAGTAATTACGTCCCTAGGAGGTAAATAATTCCATATTGCTTGGAATTTTTCTGGTTTAATACAATTTGAAATCTCTTGTGATAATTGAATTAATCGGTTTTCCACTTTTTTTCACAACGTTCGAGCCAACACGGTATTCTGTGTTGTGTTCCATACATTTTGAAGCTTCCTGTTTCCACCAAAGATTCAGTTTTTCCGAGCTTGGAAGCAAACTGAATTTACCTGTAAAGAGAATCTTAGAAAGAGGTGCTATACCATCTATTTATGCGGCAAACGAGTTAGCCGCTCAGAAGGAAACACTGTCTGATTGTAGTTGATGACAAGTCAACTCTGAGTAATATCTTGTATCATAGATTGTAAAACTTAGTATTTTAAATTAAATTGTTTTACCTGGTTTCTCCAGAAGACCTGACTTGCTAATTAATGAAGTGATGGAATCATGAATATTAAAGCAAAGAAAACTGTTTGGGTAACAGTAGCCTTGTTAAAATGTGTCACGCAGGGATTTCTTGTAATTGTGGGTAATTTTTTGTAGTATAAGATGAAATAAGCACAAATTTTCCTTATTTTAACAGTTTTTTGTGACTTGTGACTCTGGAGGAGGCCGAGCATGTTTGTTGATGATTAATCATTCAATTTTCAATCGTCTGTCTTGTTCATCCCCTTCATTAGCCTCATAAAACGTCAGTCTCACCCATCCCCTTTGACCAATATCAGTCGATCTCACTCATCCCCTTCATACAACATCAGTCAAACTCACTCATCCCCTTCATACAACATCAGTCAGTCTCACTCATTCCCCTTTGACCAATATCAGTTGATCTCACTCATCCCCTTCATACAACATCAGACAGTCTCACTCATCCCCTTTGACCAATATGACTCATCTACTGCACAATATCAGTTTAATGCATGAATTTACAATGGCGTTCCATTCCGGTCAAAATTACATCAAGTCAGAAAGTAATATTCAAACATCATATCAACATGTCATAAACTCTCAATATAATGTTGAAAATATCAAGACAAAGTTCAAACTCTAAAGCATATACATGAAAACTAAACGTGCAAGTCCTAATGTATTTTTATCATACGAAACTGGACAAATGTAAGTCAAAGCCACGGCTCATAAATATAAATCGAAATGTAAAAAAATATAGATCGAAATGTCAAAATTATTAATCAAAATGTCAAAAAATATAGATCGAAATGTCAAAAATAATAATCGAAAGGAAACGGAAGTCAGAAAACGGAAATGACACGGCCAAAAATTTATCAGATTCAGTGTTGTATTAAACAGCACGTTTCAAATGTCCGTTTTTCAAATAAACAATATGGTGGGTGTGAGAAGCCAACTTAACGATTTCGAAATTAAAGAATTCTTTCGTTCTTTACAAACATTGCTGAGCATGTTCTTTAACAATAACATTTCCTATGATTCAGCTGAATATCTTTCTTGCCGTCTAGATGTGTACGAGAGAAATATAAATATTCTTCTGGCAAGACTTAGTGAGTCGTATCCCCTAGAACAACAACTTTTGTCGGATATGCACAAATGAAAGATGCAAAGCACTTTCTTTTCGCCCTTTGTTAGAGGAGGACCACGGTAGTGTTCAGGCAAGTGTAGGAGTATCTATTTCTGGTGTGGGAAGACCAAGATTGGATGTCTCACAAGAGGTGATCAAAGCTCTCAATTCCCAAGTTGGGCTTTCCTTGGCGGAAATTGCAAGATATTTTGGAGTGTCTGAGAGTACCATACGACAACGCTGACGTTCATTTGTTACAGGAAATACAACCAAAGAATCACATTCTATCATAACGGACAATGATCTTGATATAATTTTTCGTGGTATCTTACAGGTTACACCCAGGATTGGCTATAGACTTGTACAAGGTTCCTTAGGAGGACGTGGATTGTGTATCCAAAGACGCCAGGTGCTAGAAAGTCTTCAACGGGTTGACCCGGTAACAGTTACCATGAGATCTTCAAGAACCATTGTCAGAAGACGTTACACTGTACTACCATAAATGGCTCATTTTTTTAAAATATTAAGTTCCTATGCACTGCATAATGAGCTTTCTATAAAGAGCCATAGTCAGCCACAATGCAATGTGTGCTTTTATTTACGTTCTTCAGTTACTTTTCTTGGTTGCCCCAAAAATGGCTACCTACAGACCACAAACCACAGTGACACAAACGTAAACAAATGCACGCTTTGCAATTATTGCACTGACCAGGACTCTTCAAATTTCAGTCAAGTATGTCGCCCAACTTTTCTAATACACTATAGCAAATAAAATGCATAAGTAAACATATGAATTAACAGCTTTTTTTTCTAATCAATCAAAGAAATTTCGTCTTGGCATGATAGTTAACCCACTTTTTTATTAGGCATTTGGATGGTAATCACAAGCTCATCCAGCCTTACCAAATAGTAATCCATGGTGGCATAGATTGGTATTCACGACTAGTGGTTTTTTTACATGCCTCTACCAACAACCAAGCCTCAACAGTTCTAGAGTGCTTTAAAGGAGCTGTCAACCAGTATAATCTTCCATCACGTGTCCGAACAGATTTGGGATTGGAAAACATAGAGGTGGGGCGTTTCATGCTACAATCTAGGGGAACAAGCCGAGGCAGTATAATTACTGGCCCTTCGGTCCACAATCAACGAATTGAACATCTTTGGCATGAAGTGAATAGCATGGTGTCCAGTTGT